CATGTTTCTGAAATCTAAAAAAAACAAAAAAACCCACCAAAATTGAGAGTGGGTTTAATGAATCTAGACTAAACCAGAGAAATCCAATCTTAATAACAGTGTGGTCAACCAGATAACTGATTATTTCCCACCCACCCCCTCCGCTGGATGCTCTAGATTTTCTAACTTTCAAAAGCTATTTTAAAAAAGAAAAGAGAGAAGGAATAGAAGAGATTGATAGGCTGTAAAACAATGAATAAGAATGTTCAGCAAGTCATTAGATTAGTGCTGCATATAGTATAAGAGAGATCCTATTGCAATTTAACATTTCAAAACCATTATTAAAATCAAATTGAGATTCAATAATTAAGCAGGGCAGTGAAGACAGTGTGTAGAAGTGTAATAAGAACCATCAATCAGAATGAACAACGAATAAGAGTTTCTTTCTAAAATCTAAGTAACTTAACACAGGGATTTTGGCGACAAGAGCTGGCTGAGCAGGAAAAATTTAGTTCAGATGAGGAAGGCCTGCCTTAGCTGTGCATATACATGAACACTATTTTATCAGGTTACATTTTAAATTTGAATTTGACCCCGCCAGGACAGTCTCCTCTGATACTCCTGCAAAAATTATGATAATATTTTAATGCTGGAGTGACGGCATGGTAATAGTGCTGAATGAGGCCCAGTGAAATCAAGCTTCAAATTCTGACTTCAATGGGAAGCTTTATATGATCTTAATCCGACTTATTTTTCTTAGCCTCACTTAATTTATAGATTCTTAGGAAGCGGGGGAGGGGGGGAGGAAGGAGATCCAGAACAGGGGTTTAATAGTTCAATTTTAGTTTTGCAAAAGGAGGCATGCTTCCTTCTGCTAGACAGCGTTAGGCTTCGAAGTTTAGTGATTGTAACTTAGAAAGCAAATTTTTTAAGGCCAGCCACAGTTGCTATTGAAATATCAGTAAATCTGCAGCCTTAGCCACAAGTGGCTAAATCTTGAAACCTAACACCACCGAACAGACACTAATCACAGTATCAATATTTCATGCTACATTCTGTTTCTTCCTAAAGGCTTAACTGAATAACAGATTTGGAAGGGATCTTGTAGGTCATCTAGTCCAACCCCCTGCTTAGGCAGGAAGCCCTACACCACTTCAGACAAATAATTATCCAACATTGTCTTAAAAACTTCCAGTGTTGGAGCATTCACAACTTCTGGAGGCAGGTTGTTCCACTGATTAATTGTCTTCACTGTCAGGAAATTCCTCCTTAGTTCTAGGTTGCTTCTCTCCTTTATTAGTTTCCACCCATTGCTTCTTGTCCTGCCTTCATTTGCTTTGGAGAATAGCTTGACTCCCTCTTCTTTGGGGCAGCCCTTCAAATATTGGAAGGTGCCATCATGTCGCCCCAGTCCTTCTCTTCATTAAACTAGACATACCCAGTTCCTGCAACCGTTCTTCATATGTTTTAGTCTCCAGTCTCCAAATCATCTTTGTTGCTCTTCTCTGCACTCTTTTTAGAGTCTCAACATCTTTTTTTAATATTGTGGCACCCAAACCTTAATCGTCAACTTTGTGGGGTTTAATGGCACTCAAATCATAACCCCTGAATCAGAGTTAAGCTGTTTTCTTGGGCTGGGAAAGTACCTCGAAATGGAGACTTTCAGCTACAAATTGTCAGTCTCCTAAAAGTTGATACTTAAATACATCTTAGAATCTAGAAGGGTTAGATGAACCCTTAGATGAAGGGTTAGGAAAAGAAACTAGTTAAGTTAGAGGGGGGGAAGTATCCTTCCTTTTTTTAAAAAAATATATATCTTACTTCTAACTGCAGGCTTTTCCCCTGGTGGATTTTGCTAAAAATACATTTCTGATCAATAACATTTACGTTTGATGCTCTTTCTGTAGTCCCTTCTGTCTAAAGGATTACAGCCAGGCACGAGACCACGAGCATCTTAAAAGTAGCATCCTTGCCTGTTCAGGGATGCTACTTTTCAAATTCTTTCTGTCCCACTTCGATGTGTTCACCTTGATGAAAGGTTATGCTCTTGAGCGAAATTATTCTGATCGTTCCCCCAGTGCCATGGCAACAGATTATGATGTCAGCAGCAAAGGCAAGCGGTGGGGGGGGGGGAAACAGTTACTAAGAGGAAACAGATTATAAAAGGGGGGAAAAATCACTTTGCAATGCTGATTTTTTTTTCTTCTTCTCCAACTTCTTTTGTTTGCAAAAGTCTATGTCAAATTTTTTAATGATTTGATGAAGGTAGAAAGATATCACAATATTTTTGGGTTGGTTTGGGTTGTGTTTTTTAAGAATACTGTTTTACTTTTAAGCTTCCAATAAATGCAGGAAGGTCTTCATTTTGGGGTTTCTTAGAATGCAGCTTTATGATTCCTCCAGCTTGGGAATTCTGGGAGTTGAAATCCACGCATCTCTAAAAGCTACCAAGTTGAGACACTTAAATGTCCAGGTTTTGCATCCATGACCCTGTGAGTTTTAACATCCTCTTTGCACATACTGTGTGCTCCTGCGATGCTCCAGAGGGTGGTGTTGGAGTTATAGACCTTGGAGGGGGGGGGGGAATTGTCATAGCAACAAACCAGCATTGCAACCTATTGGTTCTAGGTTCTAGAGAGGCAAGGAGGATGGGGAAAGGAAGGCAGGAAAAGAGCAGAGATATTTACCCTGGTACACAAACCAGCTGTTATCAGTGGCCCGTCTCCAGATGTTTCAACTGTCCTTTTGAGGCTTCACAGCTTCCTAGTGGATCCCTCATGGACAAAAGCAGTTTGAGCAGCTCCCCTGAGAAATCCTGGCCACGATTCCACAAATAGCAGCGAAGGAATTCATATTCTAAAGCGCACAAGTAAATAATAGACAACCATCGGGCCAATTCATTAACGTCTAAATGTCAATATTTCGCTAATGGCGTAATTACCCTCTAAGCCCAAAATACCCCGTCTGCGAAACCAAACAGCAAACCATTTATCCTCAGGCAGTCAGGCATAATTATCGAGATTTTAAAAACACTAAATACACACTGTATTTATCTCCGTCGCAAGCCTGCAAAATTGGCTGACAACTTTCCTTTTGAACTAGCCGTGGGACCCCCTTGACTTCTACGAGCAACCCATATCTCTTCTCTGAAGGGCTTAATTTGCCACTATGAACGGCAGAAAGGCCAGATGTCCGTAATCTTCCTCAAGTCCCCTAGCGACAGGAAAGTCCCCTAGCATCTGTTCCCTAAAAGAAATCAGCTCTGCTTTTGTTTTTAAGTTGATGGGGCCGAGAAGCAGGAAGGACAGCCTTTTTTGTAGAGGAATTCTCCTTTGCCCCGGCGATCGATGCACGAGGTCCGTAGGAGAAGAAAAGTCTTCTTGCATTCAAGGCACCAAAGTTGGCCTGCTGTTGGGATCAACAGTTCAGCTTGCAGATTTCCAGGTCCAAGCCATCTGCAAGGACTTGCTCTAGAACTGGGTCGCAGTTCCAACCGGGTGATAACAGGTGGTCCTCAGGTTATGACCGTATTCTCATAAATGAGTAGAGAGGAGAACCTTTTAGCTGTGATGCCCCTGTTTTCATCATGGAAGAGATATATAGATGAGAGATGATAGAGAGATGGAGAGAGATAGAGGTGTGTGTGTGTGTGTGTGTGTGTGTGTGTGAGAGAGAGAGAGAGAGAGAGAGAGAGAGAGAGAGAACTAGGTAGGTAGGTAGATAAATAGATGGATAGATGAGAGAGAGATAGAAATAGAAATAGATAGAGAGATTATAGATGCTAAATAGAGATGGAGAGATAGATAGGAGAGAGAGATGATAGATAGATATAGATGATATAGAGATAGAGATATGGATGGACTGACAGATATAGAGATGATAGAGAGAAAGAGAGAGAGAGATGATAGAGAGAGATAAAGATAGTCAAATAGATAGATAGATAGATAGATAGATAGATAGATAGATAGATAGATAGATAGATAGATAGATAGACAGACAGACAGACAGACAGACAGACAGACAGACAGACAGACAGATATAGATAGATTGGGGGGGCAGAATCATCCCTTTGAAAAGCTTCCTCTGGAGAAATGATCCAACTAATTTCTCAGCCTGAAAAATCTGAGGACAGGTTTTCTTCCGTTGTTTGGGAGCAGTTCCATCGTTGAACCCCAAAATAGTTTTCTTTCTGCCTTTCCAGCTAGTTTTTTGAATGCCTAGTTTTTTTGGGCGAGAAGGACAACTTCCTGCCCCTCTCCGCTTCTAGCATTCCGGAGGGTTGGGCACTGTCCCGGTCTGGAATTAGCACTAGGCTGGAGAGCTCAAGATCCCATAGCCCCTTGAAGGTAACAGCCCTTCATCGAACACCTCCCTGTCTCGAGTGGGTTACAGGGGCTTCCAGAGGCACCGCGTGATCTGGTTATGGCAAGGCTTGGATTACAAACAGAAGAGGAAATAGATTTAAATCCTCGCTGGGTTATTTTGCTGTTTGGGAGCAACCGGTCCATGATCACGGGGATTTGATCAGATCATGTTTTTGCTTTGTTGAATGTAGGAGTGGGTTAGTTCAAAAGGGTTTCCTTTTACACCTTTGTAATCTGCATACCTGTTTCCCACCCACCCCACTCCCCCCAAAAAAAATCAGGTTCCCCCAAGGAAAAGTTGTGTGTTTGGTAAAGCTTTCACTTAGCCTGCCTTTCCTAGAATGATGGTTTAAGATATATGCTCTCGTAGAAGCTGCAACGTAAGCCTGTTGTAAGTATGTAGGAGTGAGCCGTTCTGCCTTTTGTGTTCTCCTCTCTCTGTCTCCTTCATCCGACCAAGTACGTTGATCCACAGCATTTTAATTTTCCTTCCAGCGGTGTTCTCTTCCCTTCTGTCCCTTCCCTGCTTCTCACCACCTTCCTCTGATGAGACAAACTTGATTTTCTCCTCTAGGGTTTTTCTTAAGTTTTCTTTTCAGTTGTTTTTTTACCCTTTTCATTCTAACTTTAGTTCATTTTGTTGTGTGGTAACCGCAGTTATGGATGACACCTCTCCTGGCACACAGGAATATATTATGTTACGGCAAGACTCCATCCAATCTACGGAACTAAAGAAAAGACAGTCCCCTTTCCGAACTAAATGCCATGAAATCTTCTGTTGTCCTCTGAAGCAAGTCCACCTCAAAGAGAATACCGAGCCCGAAGGTTTGTGCTCCGTGCATCTTCCTTTTGCTTTTTCCCTTCCTTTTTTTTTTTTTGGTTTTCCTTCTCCTCCTTGGATTCTTTTTCTCTTTCCTTTTTCCCCCCCTCATTTCTTCTTTTGCTTTTGTTTTCTGGAAAGCCTGTGCCTGGCCTGTTGAGTCTCGTATGTTCAACTTCTGATCTGCACCTGATGCAACGGGAAACAAGAATCTGCCTAGAATTTGTCTCTCCTCCTTGTTTTTTGCTTGCTTGTAAGTGTGGGGAAGACCCTGTGATTTTACCCACACACAAATGGGACTTTTATAGCCGTAAAGAAGCTATTTGTCCCCCTTTGAGGCATTCATAAAAGGTCTCTCCATGTTGTTTTCATTGACTTCTGGCTGCAAAATTTGCTTGCTCTTCTAAAAGGATATCGTGGAGTTTCCGGTTTCTTCCCAGCTCCGGGCCTTTCATCCATCCCTGGAGTTATCTTGATGCTTTTAACATTGCCCTGAGCTGGGGAGAATTATTATTACCCTGTACTTGAAATGTAATTCTTGGGTCCTTCATGAAAGCTTGGTTTGTGCATTGCTTCTGCTGATCTTCCCAAAATTGCTTACACGAGCTGAAGTTTGGCAAAGCAGCATAAGGTTTTCTGCATGTCCAGTTGCACTTTGGAAAGTCTCTTGCATGACGTAGAACAAAACTGGAATGCCTCTCTCTCTCTCTCTCCTGCCCTTTGTTTAATTTATTCTCCAGAGATCAGGTATCATTTGATGGTTGATGAATTTGCTTGTTTATGACTTGTGAAAAGCAAACTTTGGTTTTCCTTGCCTGTGGGGGGGGTGTTGGTATATGAGATTAAACCATCTTTCCTTTTTCTTTTTCTGTTTTTTGGGGACAACTGAATTCTTGGTACTTCTATAATGTTTTCTCTCATGTGTTTTGTTTTGTTTTAAATTACTGCCTCAATTCTACCTGGTAAGATTTCGCATGTTTTACAACCGCTTCCATATATGGTTATTTAGCTAATGAATTCTTTTGAGGGATTGTCTACATACGTGGATTTGATTCGGTATTTAAGGCTAGATGGTTTTGGCTGGTGATGAACAAACTGTGGTTTCCTTTGATTTAGGGTTAGAGTGAGGTTTAGGGCATCGCTTGGGTGCATTCAAGCTATCTACTAAAGTTGCTATATCTCTGTTCCTTCCCAAGCAAGCATCTAGGTCAGGGTTGTCAAATTCGATTTCATTGAGGGCCTCATTCAGGGTTGTGTTTGACTTCTAATCTAGGTCTTGATCAACACAAAATGGTTGTGTGGTATGATCATGCTTAAATGCAAGGTTGTGTGGTTAGATCATGCTTAAATGCAATTATGGGTCAGCCAAGGACACTACTAGTAGAGGTAATATGTTGTAGTTTCATCATTCAAGCTGTTGGCCCCTCTTTCCATCATTTAGTTCTCATCCATCGCCAAACTCTGAATGGTGATGATGTATTCTGGATGGAGAAGGCATTTGTCCAGTCTTCTGGATGGCTGACCACAGTGCAAAGTTTCCCATCACTTTCAGATAGACAAATATTTCTTAACTTGGCTCTTACATATGCGAGTCTTCTCCCAAAGCATACATTTTTGCTCTGTTGACTATTCAAATAATGTCCTCAAGAGAACTTTCCCCTTCTCTTGAGGCTTAGTCTGTTAAATCAAAACTTCCATCATCCCACCAGCAAGTTGGCTGGGGATGATGGGGTTGTTGAGTCCAACATGCAAGGAAGTGATAGCGCTGGGAGAGGGACTGGTATGAACCTGGATGTAGTAGCTACACATATGCTTTCAACCGCGATATCCAGTTTTTGTTTTTTGTTTTTCAAAAAATAGAATTTCCTTGAAGTTTAATCTCTTGTGATTAAGGTACGAAAAACAAAGGTTCTTAAATCTGTGAACTGCTGGGTCTTTTATGTTCAACTTTCCTTTCGAATGCATAATTTCTTCCAAGTTTTGCCGTGTCATTGACTGCCAAATGTTCCAAGGTCAATAACGTCACAGTGCCACAGGTTGCATCCCCCAAAGTGAAAGGTGTTGTTTTTGTGAGGTTTCAGCTATTTGGTGCTTTGTTGCCGTTCACCTGGACCTTCCTAATCTTCTCTCTCAAGTTGCTCCCTTGGATTTTGTTGACCCCAGGGAGAGACGTATGTTTTCATGATGGTTGGAGCGGAGTCTTTGACAGTGGTTTCTTTTGTCCCGCACATGCTGTCCAGCGAGGCTGTCCACTTAGATCTGTTTGTTTTTTTTTGTGCTTGATTCACAGGACAAGATTGTTTGTGTTGCAAATGTGTCCTCACAGATGAGGAATGTCTTGTAGTGGAAAGGAAGCAAAAAGCTTTTGAGGCAGACTTGTGCAAATGGTCCAGCTGACACATATACACCCCAAACGGTGGAAAATGCATAAACATCAGCTGAGCATTCACCATCTGCACACGTCCATCCAGAGAAAGACTGAATGTCCAGTTATGGTTCAGCAGAAATAGACAGAAACTGGAGATAATCCATTGGACGAATGGTAACTTTCAAGTTTAAAATGGTTTATTAAGCTGGTTCATCCTTAAGTTACCGACCTTCTGGTTAATAGGAAGCCTCCATATATCAATTGCACCTCCACTATCCAGCAAACATGACCAAGTACAAAGAAGGCTTGAAACAAGCAACATCAGAAGATAACCAGATGTCCATCTCCTGGACGACTTCTAGGAAGGACACCAAAATGGCCTACGTTGATTGGATTTTAAAAAACTGGAATGAATTGGGTATGGCCAGTCTAGGAAAAAGAAGGACCAGGGGGGACATGACAGTAGTCTTCCAGTATCTGAGGGGCTGCTCCAAAGAAGAGGGGGTCAACTTATTCTCCAAAGCACCTGAAGGCAGGACAAAAAGCAACGGATGGAAACTCATCAAGGAGAGAAGCAATCTGGAATTGAGGAGAAACAGTGAGGACAATTAACCAGTGGAACAGCTTGCCTCCAGAAGTTGTAGGGGCTTCATCACTGAAGGTTTTTAAGAAAAGATTGGACAGCCACTTGTCTGAAATGGTGTAGGGTTTCCTGCTTGACCAGGGGGTTGGACTAGAAGACCTCTAAGGTCCCTTCCAGCTCTGTTTTGGTTGAAATGGAAATTTAGATGTCCTCTTGCTTTGCACATTGAGCCTCTTGGCAGAACATTGATTGTCTTTTTACACTGGGATGTTCGTTCAACTGGGCTTGATATCCTCAAATGCAAATGTTTTCATAGATTTTTTTCCTGGATTTTAACACACTTTCCTTCTTTTCTAAAGAAGTTTTCTCTCTCCCTCCCTCCCTCCCTCCTTCCCTCCCTATCCACAAACAAACACACAAATACACACACACACACAGTTGCTGGATCCTAAAGCATTTTCCTTTCCTCCTTTCCTTTCCTTTCCTTTCTTTCCTTTCCTTTCTTTCCTTTCCTTTCTTTCCTTTCCTTCTCTATTTCCTTTCCTTCTTTCCTTTCTCCCTTTTTTCCTTTCCTTTCCTTTTCTCCTTTCCTTTCCTTTCCTTTCCTTTCTTACCTTTCCTTTCTTTCCTTTCCTTCTCTATTTCCTTTCCTTTCTCCCTTTTTTTCCTTTCCTTTCCTTTCCTTTCCTTTCCTTTCCTTTCCTTTCCTTTCCTTTCCTTCTCTTTTGCATCTCATCTGTTGCTATTTCAGGGACATATGCCCTCCTTAAATCATTCTTCCAGAATTTTTTTTTGATGACAAGTCCCTCAGTCTCATTCTGATACACAAATGAATAATAAAGGACAAATGCTATTTTTCTTCCTTTTTTTTTTCCTTCCGAGGATCGGTATTGCTGTTCACAAAAGAGCATGGGCAAAAAGAGAGAAAACGATGATGCTATCTAGCCACACATGTTGAATGAATATTGATCTTGTAGAAATGGAAACAAGTGGTGCTGATTGCAGGAATATTATACATCACCAGCTGGGAGAATAACACGGGAGAGTAGATTTGGTCTGGGAAAAAAAAATACATATTCATGAATATTCTCTCCCTTTTATTCCTCCAAAGCATGAGTTCTAAAGATGGAGTGTTTCTTTGTGGGGTTTTTTCCCTCTTTTTGGAGTCCATGAGGTCTGTTTTGGCTTGTTCTAGAAGATTTTTGCTAGCAGAAATCGCTGTCTGACACCTTTCAATGTAGGGCAATGTTAAGAAGAAGCCTTTAATTAATTCCACTCTGAAGTGCATGAACAGGTTTTTAACCTGGGACGGCAATGTCTGAAGAAGGGAGAGGCCTTCAACCTGCATTCCAGCCTCCCCCATTGTATTGAGCTACAAAAATTACATACAATTTGGATTGGCCCAGAAGAGAAATTGTTATCAAAAAATATATAATCACCTATTAGAATTCAATAGAGCAGAGGAGATTGTGAAGGGATCGACGATAGCATGGGGCAAAAAGAATTGGGTACAGTATTGAGCTAATGGAATGGGGGGAAATGTGGGATACAAATTACAAGATAACAAAATCGGCAGCTTACAAAGAAAACCAATTTAAAATGTTTTATCTCTGGCATTTGGTGCCCACAAGGCTGGCTAAGATTTACCCAAATTTAAAACCAAACTGTTGGAAGTGTAGACAACAACAAGGTGCTTTCTACCCTATGTGGTGGTTATGCCCTAAAGTGAAAAAAATATTGGAAGAAAATACAGGTGTGGCTACAGGAACTAATAGGAAGACTAATAAGAAGAGGACATTTTGTTTCCACCCTGTCGTTATGAACTTCCGAGGATTTCATGGGAAGAATAAGTAGCAGAAGGACCTTGGATGCAAACCCTTGTTCAACCCATCCTCAAAACCTGTAGAACAGCCCGAACTTAGGCAAATAGTTTCCACATCAAAAGGGATGCTTTTTGGAGGGTAATGTAATGGTAGGTTCTTCCCAGCATCGGTCACTTCCATTCCTCCCTCCACTTCATTTTGGAGGGGGGGGAGCGAAAAGAAAATGGTGCC